GTCTTATGAAACAAATATCGAAAGAAAAAACATGGCACGCCGGCCCTAGGTGCTTAAGCTAGCCTCCTTCACATGGAAATGCCTTGATGTACAAGATTCGTAACAGAAAGGACGTGGAAGACAGAGTTAATGACATAATGGCCTAACAGTTTGCAATGCGAGAAACGGTCTCAAGCTTTATGGGGGGTTAAGACTTGTATAGCCTACTCCAATTAGTTGGGAAAAAGCTTTGACGATAATGATATATTTCATCAACGTCCATTTCTATAACCCAAACAAAGTAGATGAAAGGATCTGGAAATTAAAACCTGAAGGAGTATTCTCTATTAAGTATTTGCATTATCCGCTCTCTCATGACCCGCATTCATGCAGTAAACTAGCCTCTTATAAAAGCTGACTTTGTTAGTTCCATATTGTGTCTATGCTTTTATTTGGGTACTTACTCACAACATAGCACCAACAGTGGATATCCTTTTGCAAAAGGGGCAAAATTTTAACAAACGTGTGACTTTTCATGTAAGAATGATGAAGAATCAAATGCACGCATTTTCTTCACTGGCCTTTCATTTTCACTCTATAGTCTTAGCTGTTTGGATCTTTTGGTATCATTGTTGTCCTATCACAATCCGTTACCCATTTCTTCATCTGTGTAAATTTTATTACTAAAAAAGAAGAAGGGGTAAGCTAAAAAAGATACATTTGGAAGTCATGGGAAAAGAGAAAGGACTTATGGCTTCACTAAGAGTATGGCATTAGATATAGCTAAATGGTGTACCATGATTCATGTAGCAGACCCCAAATAATTTTATGATGATGATAATAACGTGTCTACATTTTCTCATTGTATTTCTTTATATTAATGCAATTTCAGTTCACTTAAAAAAAGGTACAAAAAAAATATATAGGTTAGATTAAGCATGTGTACAAATTTTGTGTCGTACATTAAGCTCCAAGAGGAGCATATTTTCTACTTACTCCCTCAGGCCAAAGAGGTATTTAAGAGTTATTTTTTTTACGTAAAACCAGTGTTCGCAAAATTGAATCTGAACGGTTAACTGGATATGGGGCCATAAGCAGTTTAACCGGTAAACCGGCAGATTCAATCGTTCTAGTCAGGCAAGTCTCGAGCAGCTAAAAAAAGTTAAAAAAATTGCAAATTTTTTTTACTAAAATATGAAAAACATATAAAGAACGGTTGAAACAAACCACATTCAAATGAAGTTGAAAATTAATGAAATAATGGATTTTAAAAGTGAGTATTAATTACCAAAACAAAATTTAATATTTACCATAATGTAATAAATATTAAAAAATGTATTACAAATCAAATTCTTTATTTTTGGGATTTTATAAATATTTTTTTGAATTTTTATTTTTAAAATACCGACCGATCACCAAAACCGCCCGAAACCGGAACCGGCAAGGGGCTAGTTCCGATCTAACCAGGCCGTTACCTGTTAGATCGGGTGGTTTTTCAAACAATGCTTAAACTGTGGAACCTCCTTACTAATCAACAAATGAGTACGTAAATAAAAAAAAATATAGATTTTGAGCTTTAGACACTTAGATCTAACCATTGTTCGTAAAATCACTCGATCTAACTGTTAACCACCCAGTTAGATTAGTTAGATTGGAATTGGCCGGTGGTCGGTTCCGGTTTTGGGTGGTTAGGGTGATCAACCTATTTTTTAAAAAAACATATAAAGAATGGTTAAAACAAAACACATTCAAATGAAGTTGAAAATTAATGAAATAATGGATTTTAAAAGTGAGTATTAATGACCAAAACAAAATTTATTATTTACCATAATGTAATAGATATTAAAAAATGTATTACAAATCAAATTCTTTATTTTTGGGATTTTATAAACATTTTTTTAAATTTTTATTTTTAAAATACCGACCTATCACCAACTATTAGGATTTTATCCAACAGATCAAATGGACAGAGTGATCTTCCGAGAGCAAAATCAATTCATTTTTGTGTGAGAAATCTCCAAACAGCCTCTTCTTTATTTTTAGGGCCTCCTTTTTGCAATGGTGTGTTTTAAAATCCGAATCGGTGAGGTTGATCATTCACCTCACATATTTGTGTCAAATCAATGGATTGGCAATCCAGATCAATGATTCAAAAATATTAAAAATAAATAATAAAAATGAAATAAAATAAAGATTTTTGAGATGAGGATTTAGGAACAAAAAAAACATTAGATAAACTTAATAAAAAAGACAAAAAAATAAAATAAAACAGGGTATTTTATAGGGAAATGGGGCTAGGGCTTGGTATTTGTCATAAAAATTGGAAAATTGGAAGCTAAAAACGAGGAGGTCGTTGAAAAGGTAACGTTAACGCGTCCCCGCGTCCCCCAATCTTATCCGGCCGTCTCTCTCTTTCTAAAATTAGCATTTGTCTAATTATCTCTCTAAACGATTTCTCAAATTAGCAGTTCAGTGTTTCTCTCTCTAGAAGTACACCAAGTAGTTTCAAGGAAGCAACCAGGAAGCTTCCTTCTTTCCATAGAAAGTTACTGAGCCTTCTCCTGCCACTATATAAACAAAGAAAACCCATTCACAAATTCACACCATTTGTGAGAGTTTCAGAAGAAAGCGAGAAAAAGGAAGGCTTCTTACTGTGAAAAGATGGGGTTTTTTAGTTGTTTATGGGGTCAGAGAGTTTCCCCCACCTCAGCTAGTGGCTGCAATCCCTGTGAAGGTTTGAAGGAGAGGAGGTTAGAAAGCGTGGAGATGAACTGCCCATATTTCACCTCTGCTTCTCGTCTCTCTCTCTTATAAAAATCTCTCTCGTAAAAATCTCTCCCTCTCTCTCTTGCAGAGAAGAATGGGAAATAAGTTTTGACCGATCGGATTTTATAGATTGAGATCCTTGGTTTTTATGTGACTGTGTTACTACTCTCTCTCTCTCCCCCCTGCATTTTTGGCTCTCTGAGGACAGATATAAAATGGAATTGTACAGGATCATTTATTTTTTATATCACAGCATGTAAAATCACGTGGCTTGGGTGTTTCCGAAAGTTCCAAAAAATATTGTTTGAAATTTAAATTTGATCAATGAAATAAATGTAGCCATATAATTGCACATCTGATGGTCAAGATTAAATGTGGCCATATTGTATGAATAATATTCGGACAGTGGGCATGCTTAATACAAATACACAAAAAATACTATATATACATAATCCCGGTAAATCCCGAAAAAAAACTGGTAAATTCCAGTATATGCACGCTTTATTTGAGATTTTATCAGATGTACTATTCTTCTCAACTGTTTCCCTGTGGAAGCGTCTGCAAATGAACGCCCAAAGCTTCAGTGTTCTTGGCCCCCACCTTGGAGACTATAATTTTAGAATAAAATATGGAGATAAGAAGCAAAGAGGTAGTAAACTGGCGTGAGGCTAACATGGAAGAAGATCATTGATGCATGATATTACTCTATAGCGGTTGCATGAAATTATTGCTCTATTTATAATAATTGTTGGGTAAGATTATAAGGATTGTTGGGTAAGGTCAAGCATGGCAACGGAGCCTGCCCTGACCTTGGCCCAACCTTTTCCTTAAAAGGGCCAGACTAGGGCCAACTTGGCCCTAACCCAAACCGGGGCCTTAGCCTTGCTTGGACCCGTCCGGGCAAAAAAACAAATGAAAAAAATTTGAACCAAGAAAAGAAAAGGCTGGGCTGAGGAAAAAACAAATTGAAAAAAATAAAACCAAGTAAAAAGAGATCAATGATGGGCTAAACCGGGCCACCCGCCCCTTCGCCTAGCCCAACCCAGTTGGTCCTAGGGCTGGGCTGTAGTCTAACCCTAGCTTAACTCCAGGCCCTTCTTTTTTAGCCTCATGGCCAGCCATAGGTTACGTTAGGTATGGTATGGTATGGTATAATACACACTTTTGAGGTTTAAATTTGTACACTTTTACATAACAGAATTTCAAATATGGCTGACAATGAGCAGTGCGCCAGGCCTGCCCTAGCCCAGAACTTGTCTCCATGCGCCCTGTCTTGACCAGGCCGGGCCAGGCCTACCATGTCAAATCAAAGCTAATGAATAAACAAATAAATTTTTTTTTTTCAAAAAACTAATTTCTAATTTTCAAAAAAGTAATTTCTAATTTCGAAAAAACTGGCAGGACCCGTCATCCCCACTAAATTATCCCAAAAAAAATTCCAATTTAAATGCAGTACCATTTTGAATCTCTCTACTACATGCATTTCCCCCTCAAAATCCTGATTTCGAGGTTCTAAAAGACGACGACTTTGAATATGAAAACATCACGAACCTCTCCATATGTATTTCCACTCTGAATCCATGGTTTTAAAGTTCAAAAAGCTGGAAGATTCTGGTCAAGATTATCCATATGTAAAAATGTTAAAAGATTATCCATATGTGAAAACGTTAGGTCCAAAATCCATAACGCATTCGAATCATGGCTGACACACCAAACCCCACCCTAACTTGTTACCTTCAATGTAAACTTTGGAGTGAGTTATTTAAGAATTTTTTTTAAAAAAAAAATATACAAGAAGAAGTTATTTTTAAGGATTGTAGAGCATAAGACTATTTATTTTTATACGAGGTCAAAATTCATTAACTATGAAACTCAATAGATAAAAATACGTTATAACTTACAACATTCAACAAATTTTGTTATGAACTTTGTATCTAAACAATAATACATCTTTAACTACCCAACTTCAAATCCTACAATCAATGATGATCGCGACCCCCCTTAAATAAAAATAAATGGTTTCATAATATTATTTTTTAATATAAAATATAATATTATTTTTTAATATAAAATATAATATTATTTTTTAATATAAAATATAATATTATTTTTTAATATAAAATATCATAATCATCATTATGCATTAGATTTAAAATCAGATGGTTGAAGATGTGTCAAGCACAAAGTCCAAAACAAAATTTTTCAAATGTTTAAAAAACACTTTGTGACTCGATTGGTGATAACATCTAATGCTAAAAAAAAATGACCTCCTTCTATCCAAAATAAATAATCCCCTAATTTACAATCTCAAATGGAAAGGGGAGAGACTTTTAGAAATCAAGCCCTACTATGAAACTCACAGTAAACACGTGCAAAATACACAACACTACGAAGCAGAACCACTTCTTATTTACAGTGAAAACGCCATCGCAAAGAGCTGTCCCCGAAAACAAAAACAAAGACGGACAAAATACTATGGAAATGGAGCCTTTTTGTGGAATCAGCACCACCAGCAGAAAAGGCACCTTATTTATTATTCTCTATTTATCTTGATCATGTGGAATCCTCTGAAATCAGCCTTCCATATGAATGATGCAGCGAAGGCTGTCCCCATTGAGCATGTATTCAAAAGCCTTGTTGATCTCTGAAAATGAGAGTGAATGTGTAATGAATTTCTCCAGTTCAAGTTCCTGCATCATTAGTTATCACCAATCAGTTAATAAGCATGTTTATGCACCCTATTCAAGTGAGGTATCTTGATTTTGAAGCTAAAATTTGGTGATTATCTCGACCACCATAACCATAAATTTAAAAAATAAACTTTCATTCAGATTCTTCTAAAATAACCAATTTTTGAGGTTTACATTCCAGTTTTCATTTTTTCTTTTCTAAGTCATGCTCGTGGTGGTCGAGATTATCACCCTGTAATATTTTAGTTCCAAAATCCATCTCTAAAATGGACTTTCAGGTGGCGACACATATGAATATGCGTGCCACCAATTTCTTAGTTAATACCAATCTTCATTAATCAAAATCTCCTTTATACACCATTGAGAAGATAATAAACAGTTCAATCAGGAATATGGAAATAGCTTCTCTCTCTCTCATGGTTAAACATGCAGCAATACCTTCTTCATGTATTTGTCGACAACAGAGGGAAGATCAGAGCGTGGCTTATAATTGCCAAAGAAAGTTCCTTTGAGTGTCCTTTCATTGAGAAAGTTCATGGGGTGCGTCCTGAACTCTGCATCCTTGTTAGGCACACCAACCAGCACAGCAACACCCCATCCCTAATAACAAGAATAAAATAATAATACCCATAAAAGTCTCTGTATGTCATAATGCAAAGCACCAAAATTTCTCTCACACACCCAGATACATAAATATGTACATGCATAAATATATGTGCATATATACATGGCCAGCGAATGAGAACTTGGAGAGAGACCGACTCGGATTTGGACCTGTCACGCCCCAAGAATTTACAATACTGATATTCTTGAGATGTGACAATCAAAACATATATACATCTTTTGATAGGACAAATTCACAGTGGAGAATTCTTACAAAGTAACAAAAAAAAGTTTAAGCACAACTACAATATCTTCCAGAGTTGATCCTGACGTGCACTCAAAATGAAATTGCAGTTATCCTGAAAAATGTTTACCATAATTTGATGAGTTTGGCTACTCAGTAAGTGATCATCATAATCTTAAAAATAATCATGGTTGAAAGATATTAATATTTTAAAAAAAGAGATTTATTAACAAAAATGTATTAACAGTTTCACTTTAAAAAATGCATAATTAAGTATAATCCGAATAATTGAAATGCATATAACATTTTAATGGCAGTACATAATTCAAAAGATTTCACAAATTACCCTACTGACGTCCCAAGTAGGCCACCTATATACCCCATCAACGTCCTGATGGGTCCACTCAATCCCTAACGGCGTCCCAGATAGGTCCACTTAATCCCTGCAGATCCACTTATACCTCACCGGCATACCAGATGAGTCCACTTAATCCCTACCGGCGTACCGGATAGGTCCACTTATACCTCACCCTACTGGCGTCCCAAGTAGGCCACCTATATACCCCATCAACGTCCTGATGGGTCCACTTAATCCCTATCGGCGTCCCAGATAAGTCTACTTAATCCCTGCAGATCCACTTATACCTCACCGGCATACCAGATAAGTCCACTTAATCCCTACCGACGTACCGGATAGGTCCACTTATACCTCACCGACGAACCGGATGAATCCACTTGCATACTTAAAGTATTTCTAAATCTCTTTAAACATTCGAAAGCATCAATATCATGTACTCAACATATCAGTGAAATTATTAATATGAATTTCATTGAAAGCATTTAACAATCACTTTCAATAACATTTCAAAAATAACCAGTCAAATATTTTGAGCTCAAATTTAAAAAGAAAGCAGTTTGTAAAGACATTCTAGCATAATTGCCAATCTAATATGTATAGAAAAACTCTAATAGAAATTCAAGAATACAGAATTATCACAATTTACGGAATGTCAATTCGCAAATAAACATTTCACAAATAATGCTATATTCAATTGCAAAAATATCAGTTTTCAAATAATAAGGCAGTCATTTGCACATGAAATTTACAATGTCTAAATATTCAAAAACAGTAAAAAAAAATCTCACAATTTTATTAAAAACAAAAATATCACATTTACCTCTAATAATTTTACAATATCTAAAATTTTCTAACAATAGACAAGAAAGATAAATAAATTTATTTCTAAAAATTTACAGCATTTAAGATTTTTAACATAGATAAAATATCACAATTTTATTAAAAAGATTATTTTTCAAAATAATGAGGTCGCTTGCGTATAAAATTTATCGCGCCTAAAATTCATGATAATAAACAGAAGTAATTATTTCATTTCATTTTTAAAAAGAACGGATTATTTTTCAAGATGCTAATGCCACTTACCTAAAATATTTGAGAGGGAGCTTCCGATAAAAAATCGGCTAGAGTAAGAAAGCGCTCACTGCGTTTCGATTAGAGAGAGAAAGATCTCAAAAATTTCTTGAGTGAGTCCTCGCCTCTCCTATTTAAATTCTTAAGACACCTTATTATTTTATCTTATTAAGTTATATCTCGTACATGAGGTGTAACAATTATATTACACCTGAACGTTTAAAGCCCACGTCCATTAAAGGACGTGGCAAAGCAGCAAAAACTTAAACCAAAAGCTTTTGAAAGTAGTGATGATCCTTAAAGACCATCATGCTCATATGGACCATCACTTATAAAAAATTACTTTTATTTTATTTTATTTTATTTTATTTTATTTTATTTTAAACTTTTAGGATTATTACATTCTTCCCCCTTGAAGAAATTTAGTCTTTTAAATTTGTGTACCTGATTATTGAAAAAGATATGGATATTTTTCTTTGATATCGTCTTCCCGTTCCCAAATCGACTCCTCTCTTGAATGGGATTGCCATAATATACGGACCAAAAGAATCTCCTTGTGGCGCAACACTTATACCCTTGTATTCAGTATCAAAATTGACTGCTCAATGAATGATAGGTCCTTCCTGATCGGTAAAGGTTCATATTTCAAGATATGGAATGGGTCGAGCTGATATTTTCATAGTGATGATACATGGAAAACAATATGGACGTTTGTCAATTGGGGTGGTAAAGCATGTCTATAAACGACACATCCGATTCTCTTCAAGATTTCAAATAATCCGATATAGCGTAAGCTCAGCTTTCCTTTCTTGTCGATCTCATAATGCTTCTTATTGGTGAGATTTTTATGAAAACTCGATCACCTTCTTCAAATTCAATATCTCTCCTTGTCGTTCCCAAGTCGACTTCTTAAAGATCATCACTACTTTCAAAAGCTTTTGGTTTAAGCTTTTGCTGCCTTGCCACGTCCTTTAGTAGACGTGAGCTTTAAACGATCAGGTGTAATATAATTGTTACACCTCACGTATGAGGTGTAACTTAATAAAATAATAAGGTATCTTAAAAATTTAAATAGGAAAGGCGAAGACTCCTACCTTAGAAAGTTTTTGGGATCTCTCTCTCTAGTCGAAACGTAGTGAGCTTTTTATCTCTTTAACCGAATTTTTATCAAAACTCCCTCTCAAATATTTTAGATAAGTGACTTCATTATCTTGAAAAATAATCCGTTCTTTTTAAAATGAAATGAAATAATTACTTCTGCTTATTATGATGAATTTTAAACGCGATAAATTTTATGAGTAAGCGACCTCATTATTTTGAAAAATAATCTTTTTAATAAAATTGTAATATTTTATCTATATTAGAAATCTTAAATGCTGTAAATTCTTAAAAAAATAAATTTATTTATTTTTCTTATCTATTGTTACAAAATTTTAAATATTGTAAAATTATTAGAAATAAATATGATATTTATGCTTTTAGTAAAATTGTAATATTTCTTTCTACTGTTTTTGAATATTTAGATATTCTAAAATTCATGTACAATGACTGCCTTATTATTTGAAAACTGATATTTTTACAATTAATTATAGCATTGTCTGTGAAATATTTAATTACAAATTGACATCCCATAAATTGTGATAATTCCGTATTCTTGAATTTTTATAAGAATTTTTCTATACATATTAGATTGGCAATTATGCTAGAATGTCTTTACGAACTCCTACCTTTCTAACTTTGAGTCCAAAATATTTGACTGATTATTTTTGAGATGTTATTGAAAGTGGCTGTTAGTAATGGTTTCAATGAAATTCATATTAATAATTTCAATGATATGTTGAATACATGATATTGCTGCTTTCAAATGTTTAAAGAGATTTTGAAATACTTTAAGTATGCAAGTGGACTCATCCGATTCGCCGGTGAGGTATAAATGGACCTATCCGATACGCCGGTAAGGATTAAATGGACTCATCCGGTACACCGGTGAGATATAAATAGACCTGTCGAAATTAAGTGGACCTATCTGAGACGCCGATAGAGATTAAGTGGACCCATCAGGACGCTGATGGGGTATATAAGTTACCTACTTGGGATGCCAGTAGGGTAATTTGAAAAATCCTTTGAATTATACACTGGCGTTAAAATGCTATATGCATTTCAATTATTCGGATTGTATTTAATAATGCATTTTTGAAAGTGAAACTGTTAATGCATTTCTGTTAATAGATCTTGTTTTTTAAAATATTGATATATTTCAACCATGATTATTTTTAAGATTATGATGATTACTTACTGAGTAGCCAAACTCATCAAATTATGGTAAACATTTTTTCATAAAAACTGCGGTTTCATTTTGAGTGCTCGTCAGGATCAACTCTGGAAGATATTGTAGTTGTGCTTAAACTTTCTTTTGTTATTTTGTAAAAATCCGCCACTGTAAATTTGTACTATCAAGAGATGTATATATATTTTGACCGTCACATCTCAAGAATATCAGTATTATAAATTATTGGACTCCAAAGGCAGCTGATAGGGGTGGGGAAATGGCTCAGTTCCACCCATGGACCCAATAAGTCGACCAGAGAGTGTGTCTAGACCCAAACAATGGACTTGACAGGTCGCGTCTGGGTCCACTTGATCTTGACCCAATCTGAGTTGGCTCGGTGTCTGGGTCGAGCTTGGATCCCATTGGGTTGGGGTAGACCCGAGTTGGTATATATTACTATAAGTTACATATAAATAATATTAACTATATAGAATAAAATATATAAAACAATTTTTTAATTTTTATTTACAAAGCCATACCCAACCTAGGGTCAGGTCGGGTCCGGTCCGGGTCCAATTAAGTTGCGCTTGGGTCATGTTCAGTTCTAACTTAAACCTAGTTGGCTCGAAGTGTACCTATACCCGACCCGACCTGCTTACAGCCCCAGCCACTCAGTCCCAAGACTCAGCCGGTTCCCAATAGTTTATTAATTTTTCGTTGACTCAGGCCGAGTCTCTTCTGTCAAGCCCTACTCAGCCTCGGCATCCTAGCGAGTCCCGACCGAAGCCCTTAGTCTTACAACACCATACACTGCTAACTTTTGATGCGCAAGGAGCCTAAATAATTGAATGGAGGTGAAAACACATACATCATGGACACATTCGAAGGCAGAAATCATGGCGTCAATGTTCCCTGTGCATTCGACACTACGGTCCACTCCACCTTTAGTCATCGCGACAATCACCTGAAAAGGTTCTAAAAATTATCAGTTCAAATAACTCAGATTCTCAGAGTACAATAGCAAATTCAGCAAACTACTCCAAACAACTCAAAATCCTCAGTTTAATGGTACATTTAGAGAAATATATTCTTCCTCAATTACATCTAAACAGATAAATAAAGTGCATAGACATTTAACAAGGATTTGGAATTAAAGAATGGACTTGAGATACCTCTTGGACTGGTTTGTCAGAGCATTTTGAGTTAACAAACTCCGTGCAACCAAATCTTTTGGCTACAAGAAAAAGAAGAAGCAAATGGTTAGAAAATCAAATAGAAACAGGGGAAGGTACTGTAATGGAATAAAAATATACTTGGCTCTAACATCATGGACATGCTTTCAAGAGTTTACCTTCTTCGAATCTTCTCGGGTTCACATCAACCCCAATTATCCTTGAAGCTCCAGCAATTCGTGCTCCTTCAGCAGCCTAAACATGCAACCATGGAAGCACAGTGAGACAGACAATGAAACAGTGAGAGAGACAATGAAACAGAGGGAGAGAGAGATTGTTCAAGCAAAGTGGACTTACAGCAAGGCCGACAGCCCCCAATCCAAAAATGGCCACCGTTGATCCTTTTTGTGGTTTAGCAACATTTAGAGTGGCACCGAGACCTGTTCATTACAAAATCAAATCAACCCAATCAAGTCCATTACACAACCATGCAACAAGAAAGCATAACAAAAGAAGGAGAAAACAGAGAAGACCCAAAATAATTAATGGACAACTAATACAAAAGACCCCCAATAAATTAAAAAATTATTACTAACCTGTTGAAATTCCACAGCTGAGAATACAGACTTTATCAAGGGGAGCAGCAGGATTGATCTTAGCTACGCAACCTACATGGACAACTGTGTATTCACTGAAAGTGGAAGTCCCAACAAAGTGATAAATTGGTTTTCCATTGATCGAGAATCGAGATTTTCCATCACTAAGCATCACTCCTCTATCTGTGTTGATTCGAAGAAGCTCACACATATTGCTCTCCTCTGATTTACAGTGGGCGCATTCCTTACATTCGCCTGTGAAGACAGGGAGGACATGGTCCCCTGGCTGCAGCTCTGTTACACCTTCACCAACGCTCTCCACCACCCTGTCAGGAGGGAGAAAGAAAGGTCAAAAAAATTATTAGAAATACAATTGAATAATAATAAAATCAACACACAAACATAGAGGTTTAACCGATACTATCTACCATTCTGTGAGTCTGTGTGTGTGAGAGAGAGAGAAATGAACAAAAATTGATTAAATCATAGTAACAGGCTGAACGAGAATAAAAGATTAATTTGGAGGGTGAGAGAGAGAGAGCCAAAATTAACAGATTAAAAATGAAAAGATACTCACTACATTTGATCATAGTGACCTTGAAATATCAATCAAAAAATCTATTCTGACAATTATATTGAATTGGGTAAGTGAAGAGTAGGAAATGGTGAAACTAGTTATTGATCACTAAGATGAAAGCATCCAAATATATCCAAATAGATGAAAAATCATAGCCAAGGTTTAAGAAAACGAATCCGTGAACCATATTGCCCATCCAGAAAACCAGTTTGGTATGGCAAATCGGCAGCCCGAATTGAAATAGAGGAAGAAAACAAAAAAAATTTAAAAAAATAGGTCAGAAAAAAAAAGAGAACAAAAAAAACGAAATTTTTTTTTAAAAAATAGGTCGGGTGGCCCATTCCCGATAGTTTGGCAGAAAGTGGCCTACCATTCCTGTTCCCAATCCCAATCCGCCGGTTCCAATCCAGATTGCCGTTCTTTTAAACCCTGATCATAGCCATATAACCGTAGTGCAAAGGGTTGGGGAAGAAAAAAAAGAAAAGAGATGGTTAGCTAAGGATGAATGAGATAATCCTTTCTGATCCCTTTCTGCTTACCTCTTTGTAGGACGTTTATCTTTTGGGATAATTTACAATGAGCTCATTTATTTTGATACAAGGGGTCACGATTCCTCACAACCACTTCATGTGAAATTTGATAGCTTGGATGTATCACAAAATTCAAGAAAACTTTCGAGCTTGAATAATTGCAGCCACCCAATTTCACATCCAATAGTCAAGATTAATGTGACTACTTTGTATCAAAGGTAAATAGTTCCATTCTATACTTTCCCTTATCATTTAGGCATTTTTCTAGTGTTTATACCATCTTCATGGTAAAATTTTCTCTGTGATATTTGTTTTCCAATCAATATCGAAACATTCCAAGACGATCATCAGCGATCTAAGGTCGAATGTTTTTTGCTCAGACAAGGTCCCACCAAAACCAGGGCATTCCCATATTTGGAAGTCTCTGCTTCCCAAATGCTTAAAAACAGAACAAAACTCAAGATGGGTGACTACTATAAAATCCAAAGTACAGAAATTAAAAGGCATAATTAATCAGCACCACATGATCCATACTTGTTAAGACAAATCAAAATCAGACAATCAAAAAAAGAATAAAACATTAGCACAATAATAAAAAAACAAGTGACCCCTTTCTAATCATGAATTGGGAACTTTAAGTAACATTGAAAGCATAAAAACTTTCATGGATTAAGCGAAAAACCTTCATCCCATATAATAAAATATGCAAAAGTTGATTAGAGAGAGAAAGTACACACCCCCCTGCTTCATGGCCGAAGATACGAGGAAACAATGGCTTCTGCCCCTGAAATCAGAAACCTCAAATCCTCATTACTAACAAACACTGAATTCTTCAATCTCATATCTCTTATCAGAACATTAATCAACCAACTTAAGAGAGAGAAAATGTGATTTGTACAACAACAAACAAAACAGAGATTAAGTATAAATGAATGAATACCTTGGCCTCCCAGAAATAGACATCAGTGTGACACAGAGAAGTGTAGAGGATCTTGAGCCTGACCTCCATGGCTTGAGGTGGAGCAACCTCAACCTCTTCTATCACCAATGGCTTTCCTGCTTCCCATGCAACAGCAGCTAAAATCCCATAAAAATTGATTATCAGAAAAACCCAAATTAAGATATAAACACTCTGATAAAAAATATCCTAATATATAGCATAAAAACAACATGGATTTCCCCAAAATGAACGATCTCTGCAAAATTTTGGTGGAAATGAAGCTCGAGAAATGATCTTATGTGGTCCAGACAAAATGGGTTTCTACTAAAATGAATGATCTCCAAAACAACTTCCATGAAAACTAGAGAGAGAGAACTTAAGGAAGGAAGAAGAAACAGGGGAAGCTGTCATCACCTTTGCAGCGTATCACTTGACCTGCAGTACTAGCCATCGTCTCTCCAAGATTAGAAGAAGAACAAACACTCTCTCAACTCTCTTTAATCTCTCTGTAAACTGCCTATAAACTCTTTCTCTCTCTAAATTCTCTCTCTTTCTCTCTCTCTCTCTCAGATGAAATTGCCCGTAAACAAAGAGAATTGTAATCTAGTGCTCTTAATTCCAGTTTGGATGCTCGGAACTCTCTGGCTTCTCAGGAATTTATGGGAGGATGAAAAGCTCTCGCTTTAGACTTTAGAGAGAGAAGTTATACATTTTCATTTATTTTAGAGAGAGAAGGTAAACATTTTCATTTTGAATAGAAGATGTTGTATTGACACCGCAGCACCGCTTGCTCCCTGGTTTTGCCATGTATTCTTACACGGGGCTTGGCTTGTTTCATGAACTTCGAAATGACGAATGTAGCCCTCCCTGGTTTCTTAATGCTTAATAGTGCAAAAGACTGACACCCCAAGGGGACAGCTGTGGTCCACTTTGAAAAGTTTTTATAACGGTGAGGCCCTAAACAATCAAATTGGGGCGCATATCAAGATCCTCAAAAAAATGGTCATATTGATCACCTCGATCTCAAGATATATGCATATGAGAATAATGAATTTCAAGTTTTGAGAACAATATATCTTTTTTTAAATGTATTTTATAATATATTTTTTCGATCATCAATTTTTAAGATTTTTAAATATTCATAGATCTACACTGGTTTTAAAGTTTTAAATTTTATAATTAGAGATAAAAATAAATTTTGAGGGTGTCACCAAAATTTCCAGTATTGAAACAATATATTTCGATAATATTTGAAGGTGCGCTATTTTTTATTGTTTAGGGCCTCAGCCATATACAAACCACACTCCTAGAGCCTTATTTAAATTATAATATTTATACTTTTTGTTTTTATAACGATATTTTCATCAAAAGCCTAATATGGGTGCAGTTGGCATACAGAAGCATATGTAGCTGTAGAGGTGACGTGCACGTTCAAATTTTATCATGGTATATAATTTTGATGTAAAATATTCTTAGGATTATCTAAAAATCTATTTTTATATCTAATTATAAAATTTTAAATTTTAAAAATGGTTAAAATCAAATAGATCTATAAACATATAAAAATCTTGAAAATGGACAGTGTAGATAATATGTTGTAAAATGCATTATTTTTTAGACTTAAAATCTTTTTATTTTTCATGGTCATACATCTCGATGTCAAGATGATCAATCAAAGGGTTTTCAACATTAAAACTACATTTTCCGATGGTTTTTTGAGGTGCATCAGTACTTCTGCATTATATATATATATAAAAGAAATGCTAGCATACATCCACTAGCATACAACTATATATAGACCCAACGGTTATTTGAATTTGAATTTTTTTTTTTTATAAATCCAAATCATGTGAAATTTTGGGTGTATATTCTTCTCATCAACACAAACCTAATAAAATTATTAAAAATAATAATTCATAAAATATAAATTGTTTAAAATACCCCTAAAATATTTCGGGGGTATTTTGGATAATTTATTTTTCACAAAAAAAATTTTGATATTTTTATTGGATTCTAATCTTTTTAAAGAACATACGTCCAAAATTTCAACTAATTTGAATTTATATAAAAAAAATTTAAAATTAAAATATGAAATACAATCGTAATTATTGGATCAACCTAGATTAAAACTAGACTGTTAGGCCTACATGTAGTTGTAAGCTAGTGGTCTTATGCCAGCATTTCCCTATGTATATGTGTGTAGATATGTTCGGGTATGGTGTAGATCGACCTGGATCCAGACCCAAGCCTAATCCGACTTAGATCTAAGATTTTGGATACAAACCCATCGCACTGGGTCTAAAACTTAGACCCCAACGCGGACCTAGACACTGGGCCCTCGGGCTTATACGACCCGATTGCCGCCCCTAAAAGCTTTCCCACTTTGGTCTCTTTTCCTCATCCATGAAGCTCAGTTTCCCTCTCTCTAAACCTCCCAACTAACATATACCAATTTGTTGGGGTTATTCGTATTAAGCCTGAACCTAGCAAGATAAATCAGTGATCTGTTAGGGTTAATGTTTTGGATTAAATAAAAAAAAGGTGGAAGAGGTTGCTTATTACAAGAGATTGAAAATGTCTTTCTAAGCATCCGCATAGGTAGTTAAACATTTTGGAAGAAATAAATGGAGACACTTTTCTGTTCTTTTGATTGGAATGAAAATGGTGTAAAACAGGTTTACATATTCACAAAGTAAACAATGATTACAAACTTGAGGAAATATATAGCATGTGTCAAGTATTGTTTTTAGGAAATTTAACACATTTTATTAATATAATTGTATCTTTAGATGGCTAATTAAAATGCATTTGGGTAAGAACAAATCAGTACCTATTTACAATCAAATCTTGAATAATAGCATCTAGCTTGGCCAATATATCATACGCGGTTCGCTTCGCCCACTTCAAACAATCACAAAAAAAAAAAATTCTGTCCAAATTCTATTAGAAGTAGTTTTAGTTGCAAAAACTCTTCTCTTACTGACTTAACCCCCCAAAAAAAAAAGCTCTTATGTGCCGGGATGTTTTCTTCCCAAATAATGAAATTTAATGATTTTTTTACCCTAATAATGAAATTTAAATATCTAAAAATGGTGCTGAGCATATCTATAAACATTTTCAAAATAATAAAAATGGGCGATAATATGTTAGAAGATTCACCATTTTTAACACTTGAATTTTTTTTTTTTTTTTAATATTTGTACCTCTCAAGATCTAGATAATTAATTAGAGGATCTTCCAGCATCCTAATAACATTTTATGGTAGGTTTTTGAGATACGCCTCACTTCAATAATATAAAGTTGATACCTTAGGTAAACTTTTTACCTATATACTATGAGTAAAAGTTGTATTCCTATTTCTTTAACTAGCCAAAAGTTGTTTTCGTTTCATTGCCAAAGTCATGGATTTCAATGATAGACCCTATAATCATGGCACTAATTGTTCCCCTATACATCATTTTAGTGCAATCATTAGATCCCCTTAAACAATGTTTTAGAATTCATTTCGGGCTAGAACCAAGTTACTCGGGCCGGACTTGTCTCAGTAGTGCTTAGAAAGAAAATAAACAAAAATAAAAAGATATTCTCTACAAAGAGACCATCTATCTTTGGGTGTGGTTTCTATAAGATTGCAACCTTAAACAATCCAATTAAGGCGTACCTTCAAATTTTATCATAACATGCAATTTTGATGTAAAACTTTATTGGTATTATCTAAAAAACTTTTTTCATATCTAATTATAAAATTTTAAACTCCAAAAATGGTTCAAATCAAGTAGATCTATAAACATATGAAAATCTTGAAAATGGACGGTATAGGTAATTCGTTGCAAGATGCATTATTTGGAGACTCACAATCTTCTTTTTTTTCAAATTCATACATCTCGATGATCTATTATAGGACTTTTCAAAATTAAACAACATTCCCGGATGGATTTTTAAGTGCATCTTTAATTCTACATTTTAAGGTTGTAACTTTATATAAACTTTTACTTTTATTTTTTGGACATGGAGGTAACAATCATTATTGTATCTTAAATTTCAAAATGGGTGATTGTAAGAGTGTTATTGAATAGATACACAGTTTCAAAAAAAAATTCTCGCAGTTGGTGACTCATCCAAGCCATCCAATTTAACATCTAATGAGCATAAACGATTGTCACTTTCTTAAATGAAACATCTTTGTAGAAAATCCCAAAATAAAAATAAAAAAAATAAAAAAGGGGCCACATGCCCAGGGGGACAGAGGGCTTTGGCCACATCTCTCACTCTATTGGAGGTATTTCTCTCTCTCTTGTCTCTTTCTCACAAAGACCTCTATCTTTCGCAAATACACACATGGATCGCTCTTTCTCTCACACAAAAGGAGCACATGGTGCATGAGAGAGAAAATTATAAGGGCAGCGGCCGGCCCCTATTTTAGAGTGAGAGAATGCATGTGTGTGAGAGAGAAATGAAAAAGGTATAGATCACCCTAGTGGGTGGTGTATGGTGCGTTAGCATTTTAGTTTTGAAAAAGTATATGGTAGCATTTCAAAATAATATTATTTTGGATAAGAGCTAGTGGGTTTTTAAACTAGGGCAAGCTTTGTGTGCTTTCCTTATAATATAAAACTTATATATTTCTCCTTATCCAACTCTTCATTCTGAATGGAGGGTTAAGATTGTCTTAATCACAATGTCACATCTCCACACCATTTTATTTTTAATTTTTTGTCTATAAACTACTTTGAAACAAAATTTTGTACTTCCAATCATCTATTAAACTCGCACTAGCGAAAAATATAAAATAAGTATTTTCAATAAAATAAAAATGACCAAAATACCCTTGAAAGTTTTAAAGGGTATTTTGATAAGTATATTTTATTGAAATATTATTTTTAATATTTATTATAGGTGCAACCCAATGAAAAGATGACACGTACCAAATTTTATATTTATACAATTTGTATAAAAAAAAACTAAAAATAAAATACTTTGAGACATCGGATTTAAGATCAAACGGTGAGTGGCTCTCTTGATCAAAATTGGACGGCTGGATGCTATAGGGAAAGTATAGAAACCTTTCACTTTTAACTTTACTTAGAGAACTGAGAAGAGAAAGTCATCTATGTATGAAAAAAGTCTATTAAACTCGCACTAGCAAAAAATATAAAATAAGTATTTTCAATAAAATAAAAATGACCAAAATACCTTCAAAAGTTTCAAAGGGTATTTTGATAAGTATATTTTATTGAAATATTATTTTTACTATTTATTATAGGTGCAACCCAATGAGAAGATGACACGTATACAATTTGTATAAAAAAAAACTAAAAATAAAATCCTTTGAGACATCGGATTTAAGATCAAACGGTGAGTGGCTCTCTTGATCAAAATTGGACGGCTGGATGGTAGGGGAAGCATAGATCTTCTATGCTACATGGAAAGTATAGAAACCTTTCCCTTTAAACTTTACTTAGAGAACTGAGAAGAGAAAGTCATCTATGTATGAAAAAAGTTTATATAAATGCGAGGCTCTAAACAATCAAACTAAGGTGCGCCTCAAAAAATTCATTAGAACATGTTGTTTCAATACCCAAAAATCCTCAAATTGATCATTTTGACCTCAAGATTAATGGACACGAGAAAAAATAAATTTCCAGTTTTGAAAATAGTGCATGTTGTAATGTATTTTTGGACCGTCAATTTTCAAGATTTTCAAGTGTTCATAGATCTGCTCGATCTACACTATTTTTTTAGTTTTAAATTTTATAATTATATATGAAAATAAATTTTCAAGCCATCACAAAGATTTTCAATATTGAAACTACATCTTTCGATACTATTTGAAGGTGTGCTTTATTT